AAACGCAGCATTGAACGCGGCAGAGCGAGAGGAACGACGTGTGCGTATCGACCAAATCATGAGTCGGGTACGAGCATCGGTTGGGACGTCGAGGCCGTTGGATGGCGTGGCTAGGACGCCACTTCGGATTGATGTGGAAAAGGATGGCGTTGGTGGAGGTGGTGATGGCGGCGGCAACGGCGGCGGCGGCGGCGGCGGCGGCGGCGACGGTGGTGGTGGTGGTGGTGGTGAAATGGGACAGAAGGAGGCGCGTCAGTGTCGTGGACTGAATGATGGGATCAGGTGGATGCTGGAGAGTGGACGACTATCGGCAAACAGCAGAGCGGCTCGTCTACTGCACAATCATTTGGCTGGCAAGGAGCAGCCTCCGCCACCACGCAAGTCTATCATCCGAGTTAAAGTTAGCCTTTTGTTTGCTCGCCAGTGACTGGGCATCCCAGTGGAGTGAAACTGTGGTGTGTCACATGAGGGTGTTTGGTTGTGCAGGTGCTGTGGCATTTGTGGTGTTGCTAACGCATTCTTTGCCTGTGATTGTAGTGGAGCTCTGTTCGCCGTGCACAGAAACGTCAAGCGTCAGTGATTTGGAGCAGCATGCCACTGGTGGTAGCAACACTCTCGGTCAGTGTGGTGCAGGGAAGTAAGTTGCACGCAAAATTGTGGTCTGTGTGGTGTATCATTAGTGCCGCCTTGGCAGAGGTGGTCCCTTGGTCTGAGGTGTCACTCGAAAGGCGGTGTTAGAAGTGCTACTAAAGTGCATTTAGTAGGATGCAGCGTTGTTGGTGGTTCGCTCACTTGCAATTGGACTGACACCTTCAGGTCGGACACTGGAGTTGCCAAACGGTCGCCTAGTTCGCCAGTGACCAGAGACAAGGAGCAGTGTTCACAAGGTGTGTGGGGTTGGCATTCGCCTAGCAACTCAACAACTGTTGGTGCCTGCTGCTCATTGAATCGGCATATGCAAGCGCACCAGTTGGTCTCGACTCATCACTCCAGTTGTTCAGAAGTCAGCACCACTTGCGGACTTCAGCATTGATCCATCTAATGAACAACTACTGACATAGTTTGGCGCATGTGGTCAAATCTTCGCCAACATTAGGCGTCCGCAGCAACATCAGCCCCAAATAGCAGTGTTGTGAGTCCTCTCGAGAGATAGAGATGGAGGAGAGAAGCAAGCTAGCCCTCACCCCTAAATCCCCCTTTAACTCCCTCTGAACTGTTGAATGGAGTTGGTGCAAATCCCAATGCCACAGCAAGGCATCCACTTCTAGTGTGGTTGTTACTTGGATGATGGTGGTGACACCGCCTCGCTTCTTCCCACTGCCCCACCACTGCTATGGCGTGATGCTGTGTTTGTCAGCCCCTCCCCTCCTGTCCTCTCTCCTCTACTCCCCTCCCCTCCCCTCCTACTT